TTTTTTTTTTTTAATGAAAACAAATTATTTTTATTTAGGCCTATTACTTACGTAGGCTATACGTTTTCCTTAAAGCATCCCATTTTGTCCCAGGGCTTGAAAACCTGTGCCCTAGGCTAGTTAGGTCCATGCAGAAACTTGTGAACGATGCTCTTTGTTGTGGCATCACCGTTTAGTGACAGCATTGAATGCTCCGGGAAAACGTATAGTCAGTTTCGGTCACAGCGCCTTTTAATTGCTGTTTTGAATCCAGTAATTATTTATTTACAAATTATAAGCTCTGATTATGACAAGTGTGGTATAAAAGCTTTGTTTATTAGAGGAATATTTGGTTAGCTGGAAAATCTTACATCGCGACCATGCTTTTGGATGCCGTTCGAGCCCATATAGCCTACATTTATGTGGCTTTGTTCTTGGTCACGAATTTCCACAAATTCAATCATATTTAGGCATTGTTTCTTTTCCTAAATCCTCACCGTCTAGCCCTCTAATTTCGCAGGTTTATTTTATTGTCTTCACTTTTTATCACTGTTTTCGCATCTCTTACTGTGGTAAACATGTGAAAGATTTCATGGCCACGAATTAAGAATTCGTTCGATGTATTAATTTGTTCCCTCATTTTAGTTAAATCATGGATTATTTAAGGAACAAAATTAATGAAACATGGACAGTGGCCACAAATTAATAAGTCGTAGGAGCGAATTAACAAGTTGTAGGAATGAATCCTTCCCCCGCAGTGTCCCGCAGCCCTGCAACCTTCACCTAATTGTTTCAAATATGAAAGAATTATCTGGGGAAATGACTGTTACTACATTTCTATTGCATTCCATGTTGAAGAACTGTGTTGTTTCTATTTTAATGTACTTTTAAAGTTTAAATCACATTAAAAGCTTAATTTGTATGAGTGAATGATGATGCATTTATATACCGTCACCGTCACTCACTGCCGCTCGCACGTGTTTTGCGCATGAGCCGCAGGCAGCCCAAAATTAAACGACTTAATCGACCATGATAGCTTTAATCGATTGCATCTCTTATCGACAATTAATCGATCATCGATTAATCATTGACATCCCTATGTCCTACATGTCCATATTCACTTAATATCTATTATGAAATATGTTACTAGCCATTAGCAACATGAGAAAGGTGCATAAAGGAGGACAATGTATTGTAGGATGAATGTGAATGTGTGTGTACCTGTAACTGTAAGGCGAGCTGAGGCAGAGTTCTCATCTATCTCAGTTTTGGCAGTGCATGTGTAGGTTCCTGCATCTTCTGGATTGACATTGTAAATAGTTAAGGTCTCATCATCCTTTCTGAACCGGCCACTAAAACATACAGGAATTAGACGTCAAGTACAGGACATACACTACCATTCAAAAGGCTTTTTTTTTTTGAAAGAAATGTATACTTTTATTTAGCAAGTGACAGTAAGGACTTTTTGATTGTTAAAAACATTATTACAAATAAATGCTGTTCTTTTGAACTTTCTATTCATCAAAGAATTCTGAAAAAAAATCTTACAGTTTCTACAAAATATTAGGCCTCAGATCTGTTTTCATGTTGATGATAAATGTTTATTAAGCACCAGATCAGTATATTAAAATGATTTCTGGAGGATCATCTGAAGACTGGAGTAATGATGCTGAAAATTCAGCTTGGCCATCAAAAGAATTAACTACATTTTAAAATAGAAGATAATTCTTTGAAACTGTATTAATATTTCAAAATATTACTGTTTTACTGAAAGAGACTTATTAAAAAAAAAAAATCAGTAGTGCACAGATTTGAACTTATTCAGAAGTAAAACTCAGAAGAAGTAATGCTAAAAGTAAATTTGGTATATAACAGTAAAAAATAGCACACAATCTAATTATGATTATATTGTGTATGTATTGTTATATGACATTACATCCAGTTAAAGCTTAGAGGCTTGTCATCTTTTAGCCATGTGACCGTAGCAGGAAGGGAAGGATCATGTTTAACTCGACAATCAAAGCGAACCGTGGTTCCTTTGGCCTGTGTGACATGTTCAGGTGCCCGCACTATTCTTGTGGGCTCTGAAATGCAGCACAACACACACACACACACACACAGAGTAAATGAAGGCATTCATGAACAATAATGTAATGTGTTCTCTTCAAAAAAAAACAAAAAAAACAAGAGAGATTTAGTGATTAATGTTTCTGGTCTCACCTTTAACCTCCAGGCGCACCTGATTCTCCATCTTGCCCAGAATGTTACTGGCAACACAAGTGTAGGTGCCTTGGTCTTCTGGCCGGGCTTGTTTAATCTCCAAAGTACCGTTGTGGTACAACTTGTACTGACCACCATCCAGACCACTCCCTAGGCCATTCTTGAACCTGAACACACATGTACAATATATTCATGTCATTTTTATTCTAATACACAAATGTTTGTGGTCAGTAAGATTTTTTTTTTTTAAAGAAATTAATATTGTTCAGTAAACATGCATTAAATGAATCAAAAGTGACCGTGAAGACAATGAAAAATGTCAGTTTCTGCAAAAATATAAAGCAGCAAATCTGTTTTCAACATTGATAATAATAAAAAATGTTTCTTGATCAGCAAATTTAGCATATTAGAATGATTTCTGAAGAATCATGTGACACTGAATACTGGAGTAATGATGCTGAAAATTCAGCTTTGCCTTCGCAGCAATAAAATACATTTTAAAATATGTATGGAAAACAGATATTTAAAACTGTAATAATTTTTCATAATATTACTAGTTTATTTTTTTATTAATGCAGCCTTGGTGAGCATGAGACTTCTTTGAAAACATTTAAAAAATCTTACAGACCCCACATTTTTTAACATTAGCCTAGTTTATCTTTTCAAACAATGAAATGTAAGCTCACCAGCGCAGTAAAGGGAACGGTGAGCCAAAGAAAGGGCAGTCAAGGAAGGTCCTGTTGTTTTCAATGACTTTGATCAGCTGGTTCTTTGGACCTAGCATCCGTGGTGCCATGTCTAAGAAGAAAACAACATTAACATATCACAATCTTGTGACCTCTCTGAACTTTTTAAATGATTGACTCCATCGTTTCTTACCCAGGATGTTTACAAACGCATTGGCCAATAGATAACCATGTTCATTTGAGGCGTTACATTGGTGAACTGCGCTGCTGCCGATCTGGACTGAATGGAACAGGATTGTGTCACCAAGAACTTGCCGGTTTGGGTTTGGCAGTGAACCTGAAGTAATACAAAGAGCAGAAAAAAACAGATGCAAAAATGTGTTATGATTCAGACTGTTAAAGTCAGAAAAGCACCAGTTCTTGCTTTCAGTACTCACTTTCAATAGGTTCCCCATTCACAAGCCATTGGATAGTGGGTTTAGGGTTCCCTCTGGCACGACACACTAATCGTCCATTCTCATCAGGGGCAAGCACCAGATTGGTGGGCTTATCTAGCCAATAGGGAGCAGCTGTACAGGGCAATAAAGAAATCTTAAAATGAAAAAGAAACCGCATATATCTCATGAACAAGATCCAGCAACTGTCTTTTCTCTATGGCTCACCTTTGACCTGGACTTCAATGGAATGGCGAATGCTGCCTATTTTGTTGCTGGCCATGCAGACGTAGTCACCAGAGTCCTCCTCAGACACATTGAGGAGGCGTAAAGTTTTACCGAAGTTCTCAATCTTGACTTTTTTCGATGGGAGGTCTGCTCCTTTTTTAATCCAATCAATGTTAGGAGATGGGCTGGACAAATGAAAAAGAACATCAAAAAAGAACAGAACAACACTTAATTGTAATTGAGAAATCTAATAACTAATACTTAAAATGATGTATATAGAGCTTTTGGTAACTGAATATGCTGTATACCCCAGTGTTGTTATTGTTAAAGACCCCCTGTGGTGAAAATTAGGTTTACCATGTGCAAATACATCAATTAACACCAATCCTGAGCATTTTCTCCTTGAAACTGTGGCGTACAAAAAGACAAACGTGGTTTGAAACTGCCCAATTTCCTACCGTCATAAACATTTAACCAATCCTGTCAACGTGCCGGGCGATGCTTTTCATATTATTATTATATTATTACTATCAGTTAACTGAGTGAAAGTGGAGCAGGTCTGAGCTTGTGCGATTGAGTGGAGGACTAGTTAGCATATTCATGAGTCTGTGTATACTAACGGAAGTAAGGGTGTAAAGTTGCATTCAAGCCATTACATAAAGAAATTATTTTCATGGGGACAAACATTTAAATATGTCATTTTGATTATCAAAGATGATTTTTAAGGAGATTCAATTAGTGACTGCAGGGGGATTTTAACTAAAACTATTAAAAATAGCTTTCGGTAATTGAAATAAATTAAATGACAAAAGCACAAATTTAAAATACTAAAACGTATAACTAAGTTAAAATGAAAACTGAAAATATAAAAATAAAAGCTAATTCTATACAAATAATTACTATAGCATTATATAAATAGAACTAAATAACACTTACACTCCAGCTGCTATACACTCCAGCAGAAGCTGTTCCCCTCGAAGCACTATCTTGGAGCTGGACAAGCCCTTTGGAGACAGAAAGGTGGGCTGGGTTTCTGGTACATTACGTGCTATGGACAAAAAAAGAAAAAATTGTTAACGCACAGAAAGAGACACTGGTTTGAGGAGCTACTTAAAACTGCACTGTTATGGATTATTGTTATATCCAACTTGCAAATTATATATATATATTTACACACACAATATACATACATACATACATTCGCAAATGTGAGAGACAAAGTCAGAATTAGCTTATTTTATCTCTAAAGGTAATACTTCATTTGTAATATCTCTATTTATTTTAACAACAACACACAAAAAAAGTCACATTAGCAGTGGTAAGACTTAAAAACACTGGTTACATGTTATATATAACCAGTTTAGAAATGTTATTAGAATTTCAAATATCAGTTTCTACTTTTATATAATAAAAATATTATTTATTCCAGTGATGTCAAAGATTAATTTACTCCAGTCTTCAGTGCCACATGATTCTTCAGAAATCATTCTAAATACTGATTTGGTGCTCAAGAAACATTTCTTATTATTATCAATGTTAAAAACTGTTGTTTTGCTAAAACCATGATCAAGATTAATTTGTTTTTTTCAGGATTCTTGATGAATACAAAATTCAGAAGAATAGCATTTATTTGAAATAGAAATACTAATAATAAAAATAAGCCCTAACTTAATAAATGTCTTTATTCTCACATTTGATGCACCCTTAATGAATAAAAGCATTAGTTCCTTAAAAAAATATTAGTGACCTCAAACTTTTTTAATGGTTATTTCTGTAAAATTGATATGCTATGTTTATGTTATTTATGTAAAATAAATCTTTGCATAGATACATAAATACATAAATAACATGAGCATGAAAGAAGAATCATAACTGTAATGACAGACAGATGGTTAGACATAAAATCCTGGTTATGTGCAGACACAGACAATCTTCTCCCTGAGGAAGACTTGATGAGCATGGCAGTATTAGTCCCTATTGTAATGTATATCTAGCAGTAAGATTAGCTCTCAGTTATTAGCATCTCGAGCAGGGCTCTAGGAGAGGGAGTGACAACAGCCTTTGTTGGAGACATTAAGTGGGAGGACAACATCTGGGAGATTAGACTATGAAGCTGCCAGGAACACATGTTTCACGCCACTGTCACGTGTGTCTGTGGTGACAGCAGTGCCAGTTCCCTGTCAGTGCTACCCCACAATGCCCTGGTGGAGACTATATGAACGATTCAAGAAACAAGATAACTTAAAAAAAAAAAAAAAAGCTTATGTCTGTCAGTGAACCCTGATCCCGACAATATTGTCATATGGATATTTGGGTGAATCTCAAAAAGCCATCAAGAACATGACTGGGTCATATTAAACCCCCAAATCACTCTGCCTGTCTAAATAAATAAATAAATAATAAATAAATTAAATAGAGAGAGAGAGAGAGAGAGAGAGATAGATAGATAGATAGATAGAATTTAAATAATAAAGATGTTCAATATTGAAACAGTTAAGTAATTATACATCATGGTAAGCAAGTAAACAAATAAATATATAATTTACATTTCTGAAACAAATATTTGAGGGATTTATGTAAAATATGTATTTTTTTTTAACCATTTGATTTCTTGTTAAATATATATATGTTTGTCACAAGGTTTGAATTTTACCTATTTTCTTCATATACTCAGTTCCACCCTTAGGCCATATCCGTGAGGATTTGCACATGGTTATCATTGGATTAAAGTTGCTGAAATATTAATGAGCACCTCTTGCCTCTTGCCTAATCTCCTTACTACCATTTCCATATCTCCATAATGAGCAATGTGATTAGGATAATTAAAGCAATTACAATCGAAATTTGAATACTGTTTCTTCAAACCATGATAGAATCTTGCTGACCCCAAAACTGCTTAGACTGATGTATTAAAAATCATTGTATGTAACCTAAGCATTAAGTGGTAAGTTCTACAGTCTATAAATACTATGTGGAACATCTTTCTTTACAATGTATATTATATGACAGACACACTATCTCTGCATTTCCTCTGTTGTATGTGGTTAGAAACAGCAGCGCTAATTCAGTTAGTGCTGTTTTACAGAAGCATACAGATAAAAGGCTAGCTGTGTGTGGAACTCACCACCATACAGATCAGTGGAGTTGAGAAACGTGTCATTATAAGGTTCCTCTGTGAATAAATGGCAGTTGAATTAACATACGAATACAGAAAAAAAAATCAAATACACTCAATTACAACTGGGAAGAAGAGAACAATTTTGGATGAAAATGGAAGACGGATAGTGCTTCAAGGCTCTTATTGAAACCGTGATAGTAATCAATGAAGAGCCTACAAATTAAAGGGCAAAAAGACAACTATCACAGATAAATGTCCCCGGCAATACTACCTTCTACCACAATATTCACATATACTGTACCTTGGACAGCAGCACAGCAACGTATCAGTTACATCAAATTAAAGATAACAAGTGATCCTGAAGAAATCACCACTCACTTGTTAGCACTTTAAGGGTGAAGGGGTTCTTCTGTTGAATGGTGTGTGTGAACTCGAAGCGAGCATTGCAGCTGTAGTCAGTGTTGGCATCTCTAGCCAGAACATTGGAGAAGAACAAGTCACCTTTCAAACCCATTGACACCCTCTTGTCCTGTATTATGGGCATAATGGCTGTGGAGAAAAAAGAGAATCCTGACTAATTTGTTCAACTTAATTTGACACGCAATAGCCGACAGGCAGCAGAAGAAATTATGCTTAAGATGAGTGTGGGAATCACAGAAGCATGATTATCATCTTCTGGCCTGAAACATCACAAGGATCAGTAAATGTGTCACTCAAGGGAAGGAGCAGTGAGGAAGAGTGTGAGATGAAGACAAGATGTTCTGCACTAATCAACAATGAGTCTGGATTTAATAATGAAATAATAGAGATTTTTAAATGTATCATATCAGTTGAAAATTTATATTTAGAGTACTTGTGCATGCTCATTTCCCCTATTTTAATTATATCTCTAATTATTAATATTTGAAAAAAGTACTAATGATTTCATTGCATTGTTAAATGTAAACTTTAGCAAATCCGAAGAATGAATATCCATTTTTACAATGTTGTAGCATGTTAAGCAATTAAGTTCTTAGTGTTTTATTTTTAATATATTTAGAAAACAGTATAGAATTTTAATCATTTTAATCATCCTTTATAGGTTATTGGTCATAATATATGCCAAATAATTATCAACTTTAATACTGGTTCATTATTACAAAAACGTATTAAAAGTGAACTTACTAATTGGCTTAAAACAACTTATTAATTGGCCTATTAAAACATTTCTCTTATGCAAACTACAGTATAAAATACAGCATAAGTTCATAGTGTAAACAATGTGGTGCTATCAAAACATTTATTTGTTTGTTGCCAAACATTTATTAAAAGTGAACTTATTAACTGGCGTAGAAATTATTAATTGACTTTTTCTCTTAACATGGCTTATTATGTGAATATAACTACAGTATAAAAGTGTTTGTTGCCTAACATTTATGGAAGGCAAAATTCTCAAATAAAAAGTCACTAGTCATAACTATAAGTCCAAAATGTTGAAAATATGCTAAAAAGTCAAAAATATGACATAAAAAGTCATAATCATTACATTTTATGTCTATTTTATGATTTACCAAACATGTTTTTTCATACAACAGTGTTCATTTCTGACCAATGAACATGGAAGGGAGTGTTCAAGGAAGTTCAAATGTCTTCTTCATCGAAATGTATACATACTATGAAAGTAGTGGGAATTCAAGCTTTAAGATCCATATTTAAGCCCTCTCACTATCACTGACACATTTTAAAAGAGCCGTTTGTGACTGCACTGATGACAAACACAGTCGAGATGTTTGATCAGTGCTTTGTAGCGTGCGTCTATGCTGCGTGATTCCGGCTCTTTTGAAATGTCTCAGTGCCATGCTTGTTTCTGCTCTCTCAGCTCTAATGCAGTAACTGACACTGCTGTGCAGAGGACACAGACTGCATGACTGAGAGAGAGACAGAAATTAAGGGGACGTGAGAGGGAGAGGTAAAAGAGAGCATGTAGGTGATGACTAAATGACAAAGCAATGGAGAAGAGGGTTAAGGTTATGAGACGCAATCAATCGCAGGAAGTGATGAGCAATACTCACAGCTGTCCATCCAGAAGGTTTCAGGAGGGGGGAGACCAGGAGGAGGGTTGCAGGGCAGGACGAGTGATTCCCCCTCACGCACAACCACTGGCTCCAGAACCTCCTTCGGCCACAGCGGAGACTCTGAGCAGTGGAGACAAGTTTACCAGATTAGGGAATATAACATAACAATTCAATCTATGAGAGATAATGTTGTTTTTATAATGCTTTCTGTATGCATTTTACTTTAATAAATAAATAAGATATTGAGAATAAAGTCATAGAATTGTGAGATTTAAGTTTAACTTTATTCTCAAAATATTACGACTTTAATGTCATTTGGCAATGACTTTATTCTCGTATTGCTACTACTTTGTAAAATATTACAACTTTAATCTCTCAATGCTATGACTTTATTATCATAATTTTGACATTATTTTCAAAAATATTGTGACTATTATTTTTTATGTGGCACTAAAACACCTTTGTAATATCGTATGACTTCAGAAGACTTAAAATATACTGTACACTCTTAAAAATAAAGGTGCTTCACGATGCCATTGAAGAACCTTTTTGTCTAAATGGTTCCTTAAAGAACCTTTAACATCTGAAGAATCTTTCTGTTTCACAAAAGGTTCTTTGTGGCAAAAGAAGGTTCTTCAGATTATAAAAAGGTAAGAAAGAGATGGTTCTTTAAAGAACCTTTGACTGAATGGTTCTTTGTGGAACCAAAAATGGTTCTTCTATGGCATCGCTTGAAGAACCTTTTGAAGCACCTTTATTTTTAAGAGTGTAGTGTAAGTCACATGAACTACTTTTATGATACTTTCATCTGTTTTAATGATAAAATCACATCTCCACAGAAGAACGAAAGTCATATGGGTAGCATAACAACATGATGTTGAGTGAATGATGAAAGAATTTACATTTTTGGTAAACTATTTCTTTACAGACAATTAGCATGTTGTGTGTATGTTGTGCTTTCTTTGACATTACAGTAAACCAGCCCTCACTTGACACTCGTAGTAGGATTTTGTTGGAAATCGCCGTGCCAAAGTCATTGGAGGCGAAGCACTGGTACTCTCCTTCATAATCTTCCGGTTTCCCGCTGCTTCTGATCTCCAGTGTTCCGGAACGACTCCGCATGGTCACCCGCGGGTCCTTCCCCACGTTAAAGAACTTCCCATTCCTCCGCCACTGAAACCTGCACAAACCAGTTACAAATAGGACGTGAGTCAACTTGATGCTGTTTATGTAATAGGTCCATTGTTGGGGCTTTTTAATAAGGGGATTTACACACACATCAAACTGATAACAACAAAGACATGAATACCAAACCAATGATGGCATGAGATGGAAATTCAGCTATTTTCAAAATCAATGAAATCCATTTTCTAAATGCATGTTACTGATCTTATTTTGAACAATTCATCGGGATCAGCATGTTGACTTTTGATCTTCCGTTGAAATGACATACTTCTCTCTGGTGACGTATGGTGGACCATACTCCAATCATTTTGTCCTAATAAGCCCGTCCTTTCTCTTTAAAAAACCAAGTCCTCATCCTGATTTTTTTTTTCTCAATAATCCGATTAATTTGGATGTATGTCCGAATTTAAAGAAAAAAATCTGTCGCTACTTCTTTCTTATTGCGACTAAAAACTTGTAGGATTGCGTGCTTTGAGTTGAGTGCAATCTACCAACCTACTGAATATTCTGTGAGCGTGAACACTAAACTAAGCGTATTAGTATACCACAATGGTTTTGCGGACTGGCCTGCGTGGAAGGTTTTGTAAAGCCCAACAGACCACCAAACAAAAACAGGCACTCTGAATGGCCACACTGTGTTGAGCTGGTCAAACCTGCTTTTCACAAACAAGAACAAGGGACATGAGAAGGGTACAAGAGGGAGGGAGGGAGGACAAAGCTGGCAGTGCCACTGTCAGGTTGGGGCATTGGGTGTCACTCTCACAAAAATGTGCTGGTCTTTGTCATGCCGAGACTAATGGACGTCAGGTTTAATTAGACAGCGACAGAAGGGGAAGAATGAGAGACAGAGAAGTGATGTGAAAGTGGACGTATACAGTAGGAGGTTGCTGACAAACTGGAAATGTAAAAGTGGTGAGAGATGACAAAAAGGACGAGCAGGACGAGATGGCACAAAGACAAAAAGGTTTCATCCATTCTCACGTTGGCACTGGAGTCCCCTTGGCCTCACATTCAATGATGATGTTATCTCTGGGGTCCACAATGTAGTCCTTTAGTGACTGCTTCACAATGGTGGGGGGCTGTTTGACTGTGGAGGGAGGGACAAAGAGACAGTCTTATCTCACCAGCACTGCGAAGGAACACTGAACTCAATGCTATGTATACATATGCAAGCTCTGCATTTCTTGAAAAATGGTTGTTCAATTCACTCTCATGGTAACATAAAAAATATAGACACAATAAGCACAGACAGACAAAGTTTTGATTGACAGACAAACATCAAATACATTATTCTTTGTTAATTGCATATGTACATGATAAATTTTATTTGCTCCTTGTGTGTTTATTTACTAAATATATAGGCTAATTTGACTATATCAGCTAGCAATAAGTTTGTTGTGTCCTTAGCATCGTTCATTCCTTTGTTACTGTGTTTAAACCAATTTCCCTCCAAAATAAATGCAAAAAGTGCTAAGAATTGTGCACCTTCAGTCTGGGCCTGGCAAAAAGGTATGAGAGATTGCAGGATGTACAGGTAGCTACAAACAACATTCAATGGACACAATATAGGTCTATATAGCTACTATTGCTTATATTTTAACAGGCAAGCTAAAATAGCATCCAGGACTATCCATTATATAATTATATAAATGTTGCGCAACAACAGTTAAACAATGGCATTTCTGGTGAAAAACTACATTACCCACGATTCTGTAGAGAAATGTCCACCAATCAGAAAATTGTGGCAAGCAAATCACAACAAAATAGATTTAGTGCTCAACCACTCCCATGAAGCACTGCGAATGTCAGTTTCCCTAGATTCATATTTTGCCAAAAATATAAGATATATTGTTTCTGAATATAAAATGTCTCTCTCTTTTTAGGCTGCTCCTTTTAGGGGTCGCTGCAAAGCCACAGGTTTTACACTGGAAGCCTTTCTATATACATAATCAATAATGTTATTATATATATCTATATCTATATATATATTTATTTATTTATGTTTTAAATTAATTATGTCATTCATAGTGCTTCATGTGATTGTAGGCATTTCTCTAATCAAAGCAGTTGAATACAGTGTCTGGGAACTTTGTCTTTTTGGCTGATTTCTATTTTTTTTTACTTTAAATCAAAGTTTGTAGTGCTGTGCTTCACCTTGTAGCTGGTTGGTTTGGTTCATGGCTTTTTAGCCACAAAATTCCTGACTGCTCTACTCTACTTCTAGCTGGCTCAGAATTGTATTCTGGCACGGCTATCAAACCCCTGAAGTAATCCTTCCCTTCAAAGACATGGCCTGCCAAAAAGACATGCTCTTGGGCTTACATTAGAATATTAATCAGCTTTAATAAATGATAGACTTTATAATTTATCTAGAGTAGCACAGTGAACTTCTGTGAGCTCTCTTGAGATTGCATTTGAGGGTCTTTTCAGTGAATTTTCTGGCCTGTATTGGCTCTAATTGTAACATCAATGCAGTAATAACTCTGCTCTTTAGATTTCAGATGTGATAAGTTTTGTTGTAAGCTCTATTAAAACCAGCCGCTGATTTAATGAACAAGTTAATCCGTGTTAATGAAGCACTTACGCTCTTGCTGGATCTTTGCTGTTAGTTCCAAGAGGGGCGGATGAAGAGAAAAACAGTTCAATTGTGTGAGTAGTTAACAGAGAGTGAGGAAACATGGCTATGATGACAATAATTAAAACATTTACATTAATATATTAAAATTGCTACTAAACTACTGTTATAAGACAAGACAAAAATTATTTTAGTTAATGGCTGCTAAAATCTGAAATATGATTGCTACAGTTATTATAAACACAACACTAAGTCTACTTTAACATATTAACACCAAAAGGGCGGATGAAGAGAAAAACAGTTCAATTGTGTGAGTAGTTAACAGAGAGTGAGGAAACATGGCTATGATGACAATAATTAAAACATTTACATTAATATATTAAAATTGCTACTAAACTACTGTTATAAGACAAGACAAAAAATATTTTAGTTAATGGCTGCTAAAATCTGAAATATGATTGCTACAGTTATTATAAACACAACACTGTCTACTTTAACATATTAACACCAAAAATAGCAACCAAACAAATAAACTTACCTGTTAATGGGCCACCAGATGAATGAAGCAGAGAGAAAATTACAAAAAAAGGGGGAGGGGAGATAAATTTTAAGACAGAAAAAAAAAAAACATATCAAAAATACATCACTGTCACATTAGCAAATCATAATCGGTGCATTTATCTTCCCCATATGGCAGTATATTTAATCTTCGACTGTCTTTCTTTGTCAGTTTGTTAAAGTGACAGGCCTTGCGGGGGGTTTCTCACATTCGATAATAACCGCAATCAATGTGATGTATGTTCTCAGAAGAGTCAAAAATGGCTTTTGTGATTGTGCTTTGCTAATTAAAGGAATATGACCTTCATATTCAAGTTATAGTAGAAAGCACCCATGTGTCTGTTGTGCTTTTCATCGGATAGTGACAGGTGCATCTCTGGCTCTGTGCCATTCATCATCTGACATCAATCATAGCACATAAGCAAGGTCACACGGGGATGGGACGTCATGAGCAACATATGTGTTAGTGTGTGTATGAGCGCATGTGTAAGGTCAGCTGGGAGCCGATGACAACCCTCGTCAATAGAAATCACATTTGGGGAGGGGGTGATATTGGGAGTGAAGGATCATTAGGGAGATAATGGAGAGATGCTAAGAGTCACATTTCTAGTTCAATTCATCTTTTAGATCAAGGGTCTTCTGCAGGGGGTATGACGATTATTGTATGTACATTATGACATTTGTTCATATTAGCTTAAACCAGATCTAAAGTTAAGTTATTGTAAATGTTTAATTGTCCCACCTACATACAGAATATACTGTTCAAATATACCTATACACACATACATACATACATACACACACACTGCCGTTGAAAAGTTTGGGATCAGTAAGATTTTTAATGTTTTTTAAAGACGTTTCTTCTGCTCATCAAGGATGCATTTATTTTATCAAAAATACAACAAAAAAAACCAGTAATATTGTGAAATATTATTACAATTTACAATAATGGTTTTCTATTTTAATATACTGTAAAATATAATTTATTTAATGTGATGCAAAGCTGAATTTTCATCATCCATTACTCCAGTCTTCAGTGTCACATGATGCTTCAGAAATCATTCTGATTGATTAACAATATGCAGATTTATTATCAGTGTTGGAAACAGTTTTTGCTGCTTAATATTTTTATGGAACATGTGATACTTTTTTCAGAAGTTTTTGATTAATAAAAAGTTAAAAAGAACAGCATTTATTCAAAATAGAAATATTTTCTAACAATATAAGTCTTTACCATCATGTTTTATTCATTTAACATATCCTTGCTGGAAAAAAAAAATTCTTTCCAAAAAAAAAAAAAAAAGACCCCCAAAATTTGAACGGTAGTGTATATTACAAAAGTTCTTTTTAAATAAATGCTGTTCTTTTTTTATTTTTATTCATCAAAGAATCCTGAAAAAAGTATCACGTGTTCCAAAAAATATTAAGCAGCAAAAACTGTTTCCAATATTGATAATGAATCAGCCTATTAAAATAATTTCTGAAGGATCATGTGACTGAAGACTGGAGTAATGATGCTAAAAATTCAGCTTAAATTGCAATAATATTTCATAACATTACAGGTATTTTTCTGTATAATTCAGCTTTGACATCAAATCATTAAATCATATTAAAAAAATTAAAATATATTAAAACAACATACTAAATTGTACAAATATTTCACAATGTTACTGTTTTACTGCATTTTTGATCATAATAATAAATAAATGCAGGCTTTGTGACTTTCAAAAAGATTAAATACTTTTACTGACCCCAAACATTTGAACTGTAGTGTATATGTACTGTATTTTAAACATAAAGTAAATACATCATTAATCTGTTATAATAAACTCAATTTTATACTATATGTATGTAACTGCTCTGTCTCTCTATCCAAACAGGGGTCCTTGGTCTTTAAAATGCTTTTGATGGTGCGTGTAATATGGAGTATAAGCATACAAAAGAAGACACAACACAGTCGCTAATAGTGTGATCAGATGCTTGTCATTTCCCAGTAGCCCCTGCTGCTGAATACATTCAGAGAGGTCAAGAGGTCAGAGGGGTATTATGAAGTGCTCAGGACCAGGATCAGTGCTCCAGTCTTCTCTATCTACACAGATCAACAGAGATTCACACAGACGGGCCTATAATGAAAGCTGGAGAAAAAGGGGGGAGAGACGGAATGCGAAAATAAGGGAAAATGAGAAAAAAGAGAAAGGAAAAGCGAATGATGGTGTCTTGGGAATACAGTCGGAGAAGGGGAGCTGGGGAGGTGCTGACAGCCTCTGGTCAGGCTGAATCTCTCTATTGTTGAAGCTGGTGAGCACTGAGCGCCGCTGGGGTGTCTTGCTCTGTATGAGCTTTCAAATCATTTTTCATAAGAGTGTAAGCCAAACCTGGATGGCTATTATTAGAAGGAAACTGAAAAAAAATGGAGGAGTAAAACAAATACAGTAAGACAGCAGAAGGCGGAGTGGATTTATTGGTTTCTTTGTTTAAGATGCAGTTCAGATAGAATGGATTTTCCTCATTTATTACGCTGTATAAATAGTAAGACCATAATATAGAGCGCAGCTTATAGCAGGACAGTAGGAATGTGCAAAACTACATATTTTCAAATTTGCTTAGCTGACTAATCGGTCTAAAGTGGAATTATTGACTGTGTGATTATGAAACTACTGAGGTTATATTTTAAAGGGGTCATATGATGCTATTTTAAAGATCATTATTTTGTGTATTTGGTGTAACAGAATATAAGTTGCATCAACGATTTAACAGACTTTAATTGCAGTGTTCTTAATCTTTATAAGTTAGTAGTACTGTTCGGGTTTACAGTGTGGGGGCGTGTTAGAACGAGCCGTTTTAGGTAGGCGTGGCTGACTACTTACTTTTATAAAGAATATCTCTTTGGATTTGAGACTTTAGTCTTTGCAACTTTACAGATCTTCTTTATGCACCAAGAGCTTGTAACACTCCAAAGAGAAAGGAAAACTTGAAATCGCATCATATGACCCCTTTAATAAATTATTTTGGCACAGCACTGATGCCTGTTTATGAAAGCTTGTTTGAAAACTTCATACTCACATGAAAATATATGTCAAAGTTGTATATTGATATCACGCCTATGATTTAATGCAAAAAGGCAGAACAATAACCCCATTACAGCCTCAAAGAGTGGTTTAAAAAAACCTCATCAAAAACACGCATTAGTGCAGAGTATATCATTTATATTGCGAGTTGAAGTGGCACACTATGGAGGTCTGAATATGTGTGTGTGTCTGTGTGATGGGGGATGGGATTGTAATTCTCTGTCCCCTTGTATATACTATAAAAAGACGTTTTCCTTTCAACACGAATGAAAATATATATATATATATGAAATTTTATATTTTAATAATATTTTTGAATTTATATATATATATATATATATATATACACATACATACATACATACATATATAATTTTATTTGCAATATTTAAATTTCATTAATATAACATGACATTACAATTTAGAATTTCAATGATAACTTACGGTCCAGTGGGACTTCGATTGGAGCCGCCACCTTTAACAGCAGCAAGATTATTGACAACACTGCCAGTGCCGCCCACCGCTCCTGCGTCCACATCTCTCTCCTCCAATTGGCTGACCCCTCCCGTCCCAGGTCCCTACTGATTTACTTGCACACTTTTAGATGCGCTGTATGACCTGTGAAAAGAAAAATGCTTATTAAGGAACTTACTTAACATTACTGTGACATTTAGGAGGCGGCACTGCCCTTCCAAAAAGCACTCCTCATAGAGTCCTATTCATCCACAATTTGCAGGGAGACTCTTTAATGCTAAAATACACAATTTTGAGCATGTACTAGTGCCTGCTATGTTCACGAGTAATGCAGGCGTGGGCTGTGCATGCGTGGAGGTTTTTTAGCTGGCCTACATTTGCAGTTGGCACTAGCATTCCCTGGAGCCAATGGTCCTCTTACAGATGAATGCGGCATCAGCGCATCACCACACAACACCATGCAAACCTCCAAACCTGGAAGAAAAGGACTCTTGCTGATCAATCTGCTCCCTTGACAGGGCACCAAACCCCAAAATGAAGGACAGGGCTGTTATACAAACCACTGAGGTCTGAAAGCAGACGTTAACTCCTCTGGTACATCTGTCAAATCCTGCTTTCATAAAACTGACAGTCTCTGACTGGAGGTTAGTGACAAACGCTTCCCTGCAGATACCATCTAGTTGGAATAGTTGATCTTGGAGTCATTATGTAAATGAGCAGCCGTGGCACTGTAATTCACATGCCTCAGGTGGTCCGGGTAGAAGGATCCTTTATTATATGGAAAAATTAAAATTTTAGAATCATTGGTTGGAGCCTTGCTCTCTCCGCTCTACTGAACACAATGAGTCTAAAATTATGGTTTTCCAGCATTCTGCTCTTGTGGTTTGTTGTTCGATTAATCAGATATTACAAACTGTATGTTCTCTGTCAGTGTGAAATGTACTAAACAGATGGAAAAATGAGAGTTGGATCAAGTGAGAAATTCTCACACTGATGTGATCATTATCAAATATCCGCACACAAACCATCTGCTGCATGGGTTTAAAGTACCTCATCTTCCCTAGGGGAAGACAACACTTCACCTCTTCATATCATTCAGTCAAGAAGGGCTAAAACTGATTGTAACATGAAATATGCTGGACAACAAGGTGTGGCTTTACTTGTCGATGTCAAAATGACTGGGGCAGCCAATCAAATCAAAGAAGGCGGGCTTTACTGTTCACAAAAGCCAACCATGAATTACAACACAAAGCTCCAGTTTTAGCTGTAAAAGAGAGCAAGGTAAGACCTAGCTAAACATTTAATATTTGACAACTGTTTTCTGATAAAAATATTTGAAAATACGGTAAAGGTTACAATTTACGTGATTCATGTAACAGTGCTGTTTTTGGCATTTTAGGTATATTCCGCCAACTTCCAACAAGCAACAGCAAATGTGACCTCACCTTATCTTTTTTAACTATAGTCATGTTAGCAACAACCTACTCTACTAAAAAGGTAGCTAACTGCATTACAACTATTGACATATACAACAATAAACATAGTATTTAGCTCCATTCAGAATAGTATGTTCTGACACAACAACAATTCAAAGCATTTAACAGCATCTGAACATAAATGTACACTAAATACCACCGATAAAGCTTGAAAACCCAATAACAGATCTGAGGTGAAAAAGCAATGCACTGAATATATTACTTAATGAAGTTATTATAATAATAATAAAAAAACTTGCTATATAATGCTTGCTATATGAATATGACAAAAAGCAATTTAACAAGTAGCTACCCTGCTACTTGTCGGATAAAGCAGATTATTATAGGAAAAACTACTCTGTATTGAAAACCGCTGAACTACTAGAGCATTATTTAAAAACGCAGTTAAGTAAATAGTTATTCAACACTTACTGTATGTGAATGTAAAGACACAAAGGAGGAGAGTACACAAAAAACAAGAGAGATGCAGTGAACTCATATCAAAAACGCCCTTCAACCTGACCATCATACTCGTCATAACAGAGTCCAGGTGGTTAGAGAGAGAGAGACCGTCTGAGGCCTGGAGAGAAGATGGGCTTAAGCCAGAAACAATCTGCCAGAGAGGTCACTGTCAGCCCAGGGACCCCGGCATCCTTTTATTTCTTATTCAAACTCTTTCAAAGAGCCAACATCTCTTTAGGCTGCCAGGAATCCCATAAGCACAATTACAGGATCCTGTTAAATTCTTTTACCACTTTGGTGTCATGGTAAAAACTTGCCATAATAAGTCTGATACATATGCGTACAAGCAAATCCACACATTTATATAGCATGCATGCCTCTAGGATGAAACTCCTCCGGCAGGAGTTCTCTGGCAGGCTCAGCTGTCTGAGAAACTCACAATATGTTGAATGTCAGTACAGTAAGGATCTAACCCAAATACTGAAAAAGACTCGAGGAAACCAACTGCATTGCCAGTCTCAACCCCCATCATTCTGAGGCTTTTCAGTTCATTCCCAAGGAGCGAACTAAAGTTTAGACACATCTGATGAAGTGTTTTGTGCTCGGTGAGCTGTAGTATATTGAGATTACAGAGAAGCATGTGGGATAATAGCATGTGTCAAAGTCTCCTTCTGTGACCCCAGCAATGTGAAGACAGGATTCATGGCACACATCCTAGACAAGGTTGAATATGGTTTGCTTCCTGCCAAAGGCCAGACAAGCCATGGTTTAGTCACTCACTGAGTAGCAACAATTCATTAGTGTCTACAATATATAATATACAAAATATGAATAACGTAAGAGTAATAGCTTATTAATTGACCAGGAGCATTGACTGGTTGCTGACCGCTGACTCAAGCAAAAAAAAAAAAGAAAAAACATATTACATTACATATTACACATACATTTTTAATGTGTTGGCTATGGAAGGCCATTTGTGCCTTTAACCTAAAAATAAGGTAATTGTCAAATTATAAATTAATATTTATGTTTTGCAGTTGCAGAAACATTAAATGAAAAGCTACATAAAAATATTCTTTAAAAAGTAATAAAAAACGACAAAAGCATACAACAATTTTACAACAAAATTACTAATACTTCAACTAAAATTAAAATTGAAAATATATAATATTAGATAATATATATAAGCTTATAAATATTAAGTCTGTAATAGAGGCGGTGATACATTAAGCTAAAGAAACATGGAACAAATCACGTTGAGTCTTTTTGGTGTGTGATATTAAAGTCTGTGGTATTTGTTATGGAAGGAAAGGACAGTTAGAAAATCATATATATTTAGGGGAACAAAGGAAATTAGTAAAAAGATTTTCATGGCCAATAAGAAATATTTATGGATTTAAATGTACCTGCTATTGCATGGGGAAGTTAATTTTGGACCTTGGTACGCACTTCAGAAAAAGCATCTTCCAATCACAGCTAGTCCCTATTTAACTCCAGCCCTTAGTTAAATTATTTTCAAATTAGACTTCACATTTAATTATGTTAACACCAGCTCATCAACTGCATTCTGGGATTCATTAATGCCATATAATTAAACAGCCTGTGTGCTCTTATTTGCATGGATGTCTAGATGCATCCATATTTCAAGTTAGTATCCTTTCAAGATAGTATCCTTTCATCAACAACCAGAAAAAAATTACTGCAGAAAAACAGAAACCTTCTGTTTTTACCCAAATAGCTTGTTAGATCTGGGCTGAAGGGAGTAAGGTGGGCTTCAGCGTGCAACTAAAACAGTCATTTACAACATAATAATTCTGAAACCCACTTGAGCTCCATCAGAGCAGGTGAGTGGGCATAGTGTCACACTCTTCAGTTGTTAATGGTCACCGCTAACACAGCTTATTAATGCATGATGACAGCAGCACCCACTGGAAGACCTTATTCTGTGACAAAAGTGACACATTTTGAAATAATTTTGATACACTTAATGGGTGCAGTAAAATTTTACAAAGACATCTAGTATTCTGAATAAGAGAATGGACTCTGGAGAATCAATGTATTTGTAATACCCATATATATTGTACAGAAATATATACATTATATGTGTGTGTGTGTGTGTGTGTGTGTGTGTATAGACACACACACACACACAAATTTTTCCCAGAACAAAAAACGAAAATTTTATGTGTACATCTACATCACATCCAAGCCTTTCAGTGTAAATGCCACCTAAATGACCATTAAAACAACTTGATGCATAGCTCTAAAATAAATAAATAAATAGAACTAAATGGCATTGTGAGGTCAAATGTCCTTGGTGCCACTGTAGGTTGAAGGTCTAACAGTCTGGGGTTTCATCCCTCTGTCTCTCTCTCCATGTCCCTAGTGTGCTGATGGTAGTACAGCCCCAGGCAGTCTTCTCATCCAAACACACACACACACACACACACAACCCATACTCACACTCTATAAATACTCACATGGCCATCACAGCCAATTACCCTCAGTGGAGCCGTGCCTCTCTGCCCCAGACGCCCAACTCACTCCTCCTCGGACCCCCTTCAGCACTGTTCTTCACTGAGACAGATTCTGAGGATGCTGGACTAGATGCCCCCTACAGCTGTCACTTACACACACCATATGCATGTTTTAACACTCCATTTTCAATAGACTTGAAAAACATTACACTTGTTTTACCTGAGGGCATGAGAGAGATTTTCCATAATGTCCCACAGACAGTGTTGACACTAGAGTAAGTATTTATATATGATAACATATATCGTTCACAGAGACATAAGAAGGCCATCTGATACCAAAAAATGTATCCAACATTTAAATGAATGAATGTAGTAGATAATATATTATAAAACGGCTTTCTAGAATTGATTATGACTGGTCAATCACAGCATTCAGTGGTTAGATGTTTCTGTATAGTGACCAATGAATGTTAAATGGTGGTTGATTAATAAAATAAAATAAATAAAAAATAAAATATAATAAATATTGTAATGAATTAGCTTATAACATTACTCTCTGGAATACCTGACTGATTATTCTACAATCAAAATAAAATTAAAATATGACAGCTGCAGGGCAATCAAGATAAGTATATAATATGTACTTACACAAAATGGTTGGAAATTTGGCCAATTTCAAGGTTGATGATGGCAGAGACGTCTAAGACCTGTAAAGACAAAAAAAAAAAAAAAACGGGTTTTATGATCATTTCCAGACATGTGTTGATTCACCAGTATTCATTTATTATTATTGCTCTAATTTTAGCTTGCACCTACATACAGCCTGTTTTTAATAGAGAAAGTCACATAGAAGGAAAACTTATTAACTCTCTCTTTCAGTTTTCTGTCCTCTACCTGCAGACATGAGAGGCTTTAATATCCACCCTATTTTTCAAAGTAAACCGTTTTCTGTGAATGTGCGAGACTTCCGGTTCATTAGCCGCTGTAGGGAAATAATGAGAAGAATAACAAAGTGCAGTAAATGGTAAAACTGTTTGTACTACAAACCAGTCTGTTCATAATAAAGATAATACGTTAAAATAATATGGTAAGACACCAGTTTGCAATATCAAACAGCAAAACGAGCTGTTTTGTACAGCTAAAAATAGCTGGAAGTGAATGACACCAGAAGCCAGACACATAAAATTTTACATTACAAATGGCCGTGCCCACTCTTATGGGAAAAATAAGGTGGATAACATGAGGCATTACACTTCACATCAAAATCTGTGGCCCTGAAGACAGACGAGATTACTGAGTAGCCTACTGGACAGGAGCTGTGTAATCTTGACCTCTGAGACACAGGAGCTTGACCTCTGTCAAACAAAGGGACTACAAGGCCTTGTCTGACTTGACATAATACACTGTGTGGATGTGAGCATGCTCAAGACATGCTAGAGATGTGCGACTTGGGGACAGCTTGTCTGTGACCATTACATTTCCCAGTTGCACAATTCTGAAATGTCCTGAACACAAGGTTCATATTTGACCTAACACCATTTGTGCTATGAACATGTATGATATATCATATGGCTTGCTTAGGAGAGGTGTGCTTTCCCTTTTTTTCCTGGTAGACAATAAAATGGGTGGAATAATCCCATAGATTTAGGCCACATATACACAGCATCAGAATATAGTTGTCAGCCCTGTATTTGAGTCCTTAATATGGTTACGTTCAAACACAGTACAGTCATTTATGGTTATTGGTAAGGAATACGGGCTTAAGTACCATTACACATTCATACAGACGATATTCGAGATGCTACTGTAAGTTACTATGTGAACGTGACATTTCGAGACTTACACCTATAAGTAAATGTGATTGTCAGTCCCAAAAACTGACAGTGTGAACATAGCCTTATACTGAGAGCAGGACTCAAGTCATTCCTAATGGCCAAAATATTCAGCCAACAAGCAACCTATCCGGAACACTGTAGTAACTGCAAAGCAACATGCTCAGAAACAGTGACCAACTATATATAAACCACCTAGAACATTATATCAACCACCTACTGTAGCAATCCATGCGTAGCAACATGCTCATAAATCCTAAGCACACCCTTGCAACCTCCTAGTAACACCCTACTAACTGTATACTGAACTAAAACACTGAAAACCCTCAGAACATCCTAGCAACCACCTAGTAAACCACTCTTCCAACTACAAAGTAAAAGAACAGCAACACTGCAGTGCACCCTAGAAAATGAATTTAAACATGCTTAAAAACACTAAAAACACTCTAGAAACCACTTAGTAACCCACAGAACACTCTACCAACTGCATTGCAAAATACTCAAAAACACTCAGATCACCCTAGCAACCACATAGAGGTAGGGGCCCTATGATTTCAGCGATGCGGAAAACACGAACGGTATCCATCTCGGAATCTCGGAATCCAGTTATAAAACAGAATTGACTGTATAATGTGTAATGTCACAGAATTTGCCAAATTTTGGATGAATAAATCAAAAGTAGGTCAGTACACTTAAATCAAAATGCGATATGGACTAGTGTCAGTGAATATTAAGCCGCAAAAATACCATTTAAATATGAGTCCTGCATGTCCATGCTTGCAGTGTTTTTAGACTCTGCTGCCTCAATATATGAACACATAAACATAATCTCTACAACTGCTCTGAGAGTCACTTCATGAGCATTTTACTGTTTCTTTTGAGTAAAACTATCATCATAGCATATACAAACAGAAAACTTCACAGGTCTTCACAGGAACCCATCAAAATAAAAGTTCAGTTTAACTTGAAGAAACTGTGACCGAAATATTACTTAATGTAATGATTGTACTACTACTACTAATACAATTATTATTAAAACATAATTTTAAAGGAATATTTACCAGGAAGTTTTTTTTAGCAAAAAAAATTAAATACACAACACAGTATTTCTGGAAATAAATAAATAAATAAAATAACAATAAATTAGCATTTTTCCACTAAAATCAGTTAATTAGAGATGTTTTCGATTATTAATATTTAATGACACTATTAAAATGGAATCTAGAAAATTAAAGGAAAACAGAACAGGGCTCGCAAAATCGCTAGCCCGACATCCCGGGGCTAATGCTTTTTCCAGTCGGGCTACCAAAATGTATCACCACTCTGCCCAACGGGCTATCTTAAATGCAGATCTCCCGCGGGTCCTTAAAAACTCATAAAGTGAGTTGTATCAAACTTAAGGCCATAAAAAGTTTTAAATATGTTAAATGGTATAAGAAATGTCTTAATTATAATTTCAAGAGGTCTTGGGGACGGAAAGACAAGAGTCGCGATATGGCTGGATTAAACTTCAAAAGGCAATGATGTCATTGAATAAATATGAGCGCTGCATGTTTCAAGTCAAAACGTGGCGCGGATGTCTTTATTTGAATGTATCTGAAGGGAACCGACTGTCCTCAGAAACGTGTCTTTGGCATTTTACTTTCATTTTGCCTATAATTCCTGATAAAGCAGTGTTATGAGGCGGAGGTGCTTTGTGTACAGCCGTTACCGGGGAAACCGCAATATTTTAGTGCTCCTAAAGCGCCACCTCGTGGCAGAGAATGAATTTGCATTTCCAATAAGCCTTTCTTTGTGATTCTGGTCAGATCAATGCAAATATCAACTCATGTTTTTACGCAGCAAACACATAGAGTTGTAAATAAGAAAGAAGTTAATGTGCCTTCTAAAAATCTAAACAATTAATACAGTAATATTTAAACGTTTTAAACTGACATAATTTATATGCTTGATTTATCCCTTTTCATAAAAAAGGTCTAAAGGCTATGCTGTTGTATAAGATTTTTGTTTTTGTGAAAACCTGTATCTGAACTGTAAATCATGTAATTGTATGGCTCAGTACTGTATGTTACCACAGACATTCTCCAACCCCACTCATACTGTGTTAACTTTACTTGTGCAGCTCTTAAATAGTGAAATAAAATTCCTTCCTTCATATTTGTTGATATTTGTGTATTGAAAATATTTTTGATTGACATTTAAACTCCTATCTGATTTTCTCTATTTAAAAAAAAAAAGTATTTTTTTATTTGGGCTAGTTAAATACATTTCCGGGCTACCAAAATCTGAAGAGTACCTGCCCGAAGGGCTACCAGGGATTTTGACATTTTGCGAGCCCTGCAGAACTTGGTAAAAATAAAACTGAATTTGAGAAAAAAAAAACATTTCATAGGGCCTTAAAATGTAATTTTTGTTGAACTTTTGATAAATAGTTTAATATTGTTTATATTAATTATATATTAATTATATTAATATAATTAATTAGACATGCTTTTTGATGAATACAATTTAATTAAACATTTAAAACAGAGAAAAATTAAAACAAAAAATGCAATCTAGAAAATTAAAACAGAATTTGGAAAAAATAAAATGGAATTTGGGAAAAAATAAAAACGGATTTCTTAAGGCCCTAACATAGAGTCTACAAAAAAAAAAACTCAGCAACCACCAAGCAGACCCAATAATACCCTAGCAACTGCATAACAATCAAAAACACTCAGAACACCTTAGCAACCATGCAAAACATAATAGCAACTATATTGCAACATGATCAAAACACTCAGAACATCTTAGCAACCACCTAGTGGCCACAGAGAATACCCTAGCAACCACCAAACAGCTCCCATAATTCCCTAGCAACTGCATAACAACCGAAAACACTTGGAACACCTTAGTAACCATCTCTATCAGTCCCCAGAACACTCTAGCAACTGCATAGATAGTCCACAAAACATTGTAGCAACTGCACAGCAATCAAAAACAGTCAGAACACCCTAGCAACCACTAAGAACCCCATACATGATAAAGCAATCACACTGTACAGTGCAAGGAAAATCTTGAACTGGCATTTTAGGATAAACAGATCTGAAATGACGAAGATAACAGATGTGTAGTTTTGTGTAGGGTTGTCACTAACGATTATTTTAGTAATTGAGTAATTGGTCTATTATTCTGATGATTAATCAAGTAATCGGATAATTATAATTAATTTTTTGTAGTAATGAAAATAGACCTAATCGACCAACAATAGACTTTAAAATTACTTAAAATACATACATACATTATAGCAATGGGGCAATAATAATTAGTTCAAATAAAGTATCAAAAGCAAGTAATAATATAGTTTTATAATAAACAAAATATAACAAAACTCTTAAAATACAGAAATTATTATAAACAGAGCTAATGTACATTACGCATTGTAAAATGCCTGCAGAGTGCGCCAACGGCCTGACGATTGTTTTTACACTTTACTGCACGATCTAATCTTTGCTTAATATTGACTAAACAACATTTAATTCAAATGTCCACTTAATCTTTAATATTTGGCCACTTCTTTATGACATAAATGCTACAGCCACTGTAATTTCTTGAATATGTGGACATCAAAATGTGTAAACTCAGAGTGAGGGTTTAAGCTTTTATTTTGAAATCACAATGAACAGCTAGCATATTTAGAAAGATATTGATTATCCTGTGTTTGCCTAGGTTTATAAATTATTTCCCTTTCAAATCTGATGAAATGGTGCACTTTGCATTCCCAGATGAACACAAGATGTTGAGATGGCGTTTAAGATGCTCCACGCATTTAAATGATAACTGTTTGTGTGGAGCAGCATTTACTGTGAATGGAGACGCTCTGAGACGCAGGTACATAACCTACAGGCATGTATATATTTAAAGCACATATATTAAACCTGCATCGCATATATTTATTTAATTGAATTATAGCGTTTCTGAATTCACAATAGCATTATGCTTTTATATATTTTTATGGGCTTTTTATTCCTTTTATTGAGATAGGACAGCACAGAGATGACAGAAAAGCATGGGATGGAGAGAGGGGAGCGGGATCGACAAAGAACCTAGAGACAGGAATCGAATTCGGGTCACCGTGAGCGCAATTGCACTGTATGTCAATGCACTTGGCGCCAACAGCATTATGCTTTATTATAATTTTTAAATGGGTTTAATATACCATGCAGCCTTGGAAAACAGTCTAATAATACGTGGATTCTCCGTGGAATGTGCCACTTCCGGTATTTTGCCGGTTACTCGACAAAATGCAATCGAGGATTTTTTTAAATCAAGTACTCGAATTGAATAGAGGAATCATGACAGCCCTATTTTTGTGTTACAAATGTGGACAGTTCTGAGGGAAAGGACAGACATGAGGACATGTCAAACCAAAAACACCCACAAAAGCCGGGAGGAAGGTGGTCTGAACTTCTGTTCTCGTTGACAACCAGACAACCCATCAGTCACGCAATCATACACACAGCCTCTTGCTCACACTTCACCAGACCTCTTCCCAGGAGCTCACAAAAGGTTCTTCCTGCCTCCCTCGAAGCGCAATGTTTACATGCTCCTTTAGTTTTACATCTATTGTATGTTTGTCACCCAAATATCTCATATTGTCCAGTAACATCTGCTCCTCACAGAATACACTTCCTGTGTGACCTCTGACACCGTCCATTACCGGATCTTATTAGCCTTTACAGGTCAGAAGGCCACAGTAATAACAGTCCACGCAGATGGGCAAAACGGTCCAATATGCAATGTCCTCCAACTAAAGCTGGGTTGTGGACATACTTATGCTTTAACTTGCACTAAAGGTGCTGGACAAATAAACTAAGACTTCAGTGAAGGTAAGACAGACGAGTGTGCAGAGCTGTGTGGATCACATGGTTGGCAGGAGCGATGGTTTAATGTTGCAGAATGACCTAGTTATACCAGGAGAGAGGATGGAGAGAATAGATGCGGGGAGGGGGCGGCAGGGAGAGGAAAGGGAGGGGACGCAGAAAAGGGGGACCTTGGAGGAGCAGAATGAAAAGTAGTTTGGTGGAAAGTGAGAGGAAGACGGGAGGAGGATGGAAGATGGTGGAAAAGCAATGGAGTGAAAGAGGCATATCTCCAGCCCTGAGGGGAACAATAAATCAATCCTGCCTCTTCCTGATTAGAGCCGAAACTCTTCTTACTCCTCCCACTCACTGCTGTCAAATATTACCTGATGTATAATAACACCTGCAAAAACCTGGAAAATGACACCGTTGAGACGTTTATGCATAAAAGTAGTCTAAAGTTCTCTCTGGTGTGGATTCAAAGCAGATCTAGCAATATGAGAATATGATATGCAATATGAGCAGAGGCAAGAGCTGTCTGGATGTTTTACCGGAAGCTGCCAGATGCTGACCTACTCTACTGAAGGTGGGATGAGGGGGATCCTTGCGGCAAGGAGAAGAGCTGGGTCATGATGCTCTGATGGTCTTGTAGTGACAAATAAACAAATTTAAAACACATTTTTGACATCACTGGTTTTAAATGATATGATGGTGAAGACTTAATCATGAAAGTCAAACGATGGTTAATTATTTAGGTTGATATATTTAAAAATAAATTAAGGAATGAATGTACTTACATTTTTTTTAGAAAGCTTTGAAGGGGATAAATTATAAAAACACAACATTGTTTTTACCATGCTGAGAGTAGTGTAGGATGAAATCCTGAATGTGTCAATTAGATTGTGAAATTAAGACATTTATTTAACAAGGATGCATAAGTTTGATCAAAAGAGACAGAAAAGACATACAAAATTTTATATTATATTATACTATATTATATTATATTATATATTATATTATATTATATTACTATTTTATATTATTAACAGAAAGTTCAAAGTCGTGTTTGACATTATAATATAATATAATATAATATAATATTAAAATTTCAAACAAATGATTGAACTTTCTGTTAATGAAAGACTTCTGAAAAAATGCATCAGTGTTTAAAAAAACAACAACAAAAACAAAAACACAGAACAGTTTTCAACACTGACAATAATATTTCTAGGAAATGTTTCTTGAACACCAAATCAGCATATTAGAGTGATTTCTAAAGGATCATGTGACACTGAAAATTCAGGTTTGCCACCACAGCAATACATTATTAAAATATATATATATATATATATATAATATATTAATTATATTTTTTTTAATTGAAAACCACTAAATTAAATACTGCATTTTTGATCACAAAAAAGCAGCCTTACTGAGCATAAGAGACTTTGGCTGAAAAACATCTTACCAACCTCAAACCTGAACAGTAGTGTATATGTCAATATTATATTAATTTAAATGTTGATAATTCAACATTAAATATTGATAATTCAACAATTCAAGTGTTGCCAATATAGGATATGTAAAAGTAGATTTAAACCATCAAATTGAAGGAACAACTATTAATGCAAAGATTTAAAACAGCACCACCTTAAAGAGATTTTGACCACAGAAACTCTTTTGTGTCCCCCAAATGAACATTCAAATCCTTCTCAAATCTAATCATCATCATCCCAGAGATGTTTTCTATTTTGCCCCTTTTCAAATGCCCCCTAAGAAATGTGTCTGATTGGGGTCAGCAATAGTTTTATACACCATTACATGTTCAGAATCAGATATCTAAAGGGAGTTTATTCACTATTCAACACATACTAACCTAGCAGTGGGTTTTATCGGTCTACTGCATGTCTAAAACATGCTGTGCCCCAACTGAAATATTTAAGACCCCCTTCTTCTCCTATACCCTTAAAGACGACCACCCTCCTACATCCTTTCAGCACAGCTTTAGTCTAGTTTAGTTCCATTCTAAAGTGAAATTGGATTCTGCCTAATCTCCGCCAGCACATTCGCTTTCCTCTCATTTCCTCCTGCAATGTTTAATTCAGTATTTATCCAATCACAGAGAGGTCACACATTGGAGTAAACAGAACAATGGAAAACCTTCTTTGATGTGTTCTTGTATTGATTTTTTATTTTATCCTATTTATTCTGTTTTAGTGGATTATAAAAATCTGTTTTGCCGTGTGGATATCCTGTAACTCAATAAGACGAGATGAGTTTGTGCCTCGGGAGAGACAGCGATAGGTGGGCAGACAACAGGAACCAATCCTAAGGCGCGCACACCCAAACCCAGCTCTCCTGCTAATGACCCAATTCATACATACTAATATATGTTTTTAAGTCACTTCATTGTTTATTTTTATCTTCTTATTTTCTTCCTGCCCACATCTGAACAGAAATGCAACCCAGCTGCTCATAATCCAAACTCTTCTCGCCCGAGTTCCCGCCGTAGACGACCTGGTCGCTAGGGCTCCATAGCAACAACATCGGGTGAGGGGTGTTTGTGTGTATTATTATTTTATTTTTTTTGAGTACAACACTCATCCCAGAGGAGAAGTGTGCAACGCCCATTACCAAGCCAGCGTGTGTGTATCCGTAATGGGGTGGCAATGTGTTTTGTTTAAAGTCAAGAGAGAAGGTACAAAATGTACAACCTTTTTATTTACATTATCAGGTCTGTTAAGCACCACATTGTTAAGACTCAAACGACAGGCTTTCAAAGGCATAAAAATGGCAAATAAAAATGAAAACAGTGTAAACCACACATGTGTGCTGTTGCCTGGATACTAAGTAATAAGGGTTCATTAGAGGTGCAGCAGCTGTGTGTTATTGCACAAAACAGGATTTAAAAAAAATAAATAAATAAAAACTATGCTAAAAACATACCACACCGTATATTTCTGATTGATTTCCCTTTTTAAGCATTTTAGGAACAGCTTTAGAGAAATCAAAATAAACTAGCTCAAACTAGCCTTAGCCTGTTTTCTGTATGTTTATACATATAGACTGAGGTCACATATAGGCTAGTTATGAATATTTAATGAATGCTGATTCCTGTGAAGCTGACGAAAAAACCCTATTGACAGGTTTAGACAAGTACCTTAAAAATAGATGGAAAGAAATGTTGATTTTTTTTACAGATGATGAACTGACTATTGATGTATCATAAAAAATCATAATAGAAATCATAAAGTATCATAAAAATCTAACCCCCCTTTTGGAACCTTTAGGGAAAGAAAAATAAACTAAATTCAAGATTCAAAAGTAAATTTTTATATCATATTTATGTCCTTTCGCTTCTAAAGTAAACCTTATTTTAAGACTGGTTAGATATTATTACTGAAACAACACAACACTTTTTTGCAGTGTGGTTAGCAGGAGTGATGGTTCACAAAAATAGCTGCTGGGACTCATTTCCTGGATGTGTCCATCTGCCTGTGGTTACCTTGGTGATTAAATACATTCTGGATCTCTTAATGGTTGTAGCTGTGCCATCCCACCTCCTGGGACACGGGTTCCCTGCTCCTCCCTGTGTTTTTCTCCTCCTTCGTTCCTGCTTATCATAAGGAGGGATTGGTGGATTGTGTGAAGGGTGTGAATATAGTCTCTAGAGATGCCCGCTTGCTGCCGAATGATAAGAAACGTGCGTTAGTATGTGTGTGCATGCTTATGTGTGAGTTTGATTGAATTTGCATGTGTGTTTGAGTCTATGTGTGAATGAGTGTGTGGTAGAGAAGTGGGGTCTGGGAGATGAGCTGCTGACAAATCCATTAATTAAACCTCAGAAATCCATCCACTGCACAATAACAACTACAAGAAATGCCCCTGGATCTAATTTAGGAAGGTGGGCTTTTGTGATTATTCTGGACACATGCTGCCATTAAAGCTCTCAGAATAGAGAAAGCCAATCAATGAATGAGATGGCAACTGAGAACATGTCCCTCCTTGTACAGACAAAGAATAGACATGATGTTTTAACCTCAATGATTAATAAAAAAAAAATGCAGCTTATATATATATATATATATATATATATATTCAATTTTAACACAATTCTAACAAATTTTACTAGTAATTTAAAAGTTTGTATAAATAATATATATAAATATTAATGCTACTTAATTGACATTTGTAAATAATTGGGTCTGTCAACAGAGTAAAATTATCACATATATTTCAAATAAACTATATGTTAAACAATTTAAAAATTGGCTAAACTTAACTAATTTCTGGTTTGGTGTCAATGGAGGGGTACTGGAAAAAAGGTTGGGAAATTTGTGGTACAAACTCTTCAACAAAGGCTCCTCAAAGACAACACAGCTCCGAAACATGACAAGCATGCTGCTAAGAAACCCATAATCACACTTGAAACACGTTTCACACAAGCACTCTATGCTAATCATATTCAAACAAAGAGAATCCCTAAAATCCCTAAGAAATACAGCTAATTACTTTGTGCTTCGCCTCAGAGCATCCAAAGGGTTTTTCAAGCCCCTGAAGCAGAGAGAGGACCAGCTTTGTGGGAGACCATCTCCGTCCTTAAACCATTCCGACTGAACCTGTTCCAAATGCCACAGGGTCAATGCAGTTGGTGCATTCAGGCACTGAAGATAATAGATGCGCATGCTATTTACAGTGCTTTTTTAATTCTGTAGTTTATGCTAAAAGCTAAAGCCTCAAGATTCACCCTTCTCTCAGATCTGAAGACACCAGCAAATCGCAGTGGACTGACGTCTGATGAATCAGACTCATGTGTATTCCACGCCGGGCTCTGTTGAACTTCATGTTTGCTTCGGCTCGTACTGTTGCCCTCAGGCGCTGTGCATGAGGCAATACGAGGTCATAATTCAGGTCAATGCTTTTTTAGAGACATACAAATCATACCTCTGAATTTATTCCTCACATTTTTTGGTGGATTGGCATGTAATACAGCCTATCCCTTTTAGTCACAGGAAATGTGTGTGGATTATTTCTGCATGCTACTAACACGTTTCTGTCGTCGCCCTTCATGCAACATCCATAAAACATGCTCTGACAGCTTCGAGCAACAATAATATCCACAAATGGATCAAAAATGCAGGAAAGAAGAAATATACTCAAGCTTTTGATCGTGTGCTAATACTGTAGTTTCTTATATTAGCCTTTGTCTTCTGGTGATCTTGGCAATACAGGAACATTTATAGCTATTTTGTGATCCTCAATATGTTTCTGAATGAATGTGTGTAATGTGTAAGCACGTTACTCTTTCAGTCACACACTTTCAGTAGGAAAAATCACGCAATTCAAGCGCAATGCTCAAGGGTCCAACAACTGTTCCCCATCTGGGATTTGAGCATCTGGCTCCATATTCTCTTCAAAATGTCAGTTCTTACAGTATGATCTTACTGTAGCCTACCTGTAATACTATTACGCTATTATAAAACAGAAGCATAGGTCTGGAAGTGCTGACTAACAGCTGTGAGTGCAATTATGCTGCATATGAGGGTAATTTTGCTGAGTTTGCCACAATAGACTATGTATTCACTCAGCACCACACAGGCAACAGAAGAGCTTAGCTAGTCTTGACACGAACACAAGGGAAACGATTAATACTCCAAAAGAGCATTGCCAGTGTCACCAGTGCTAAATCTCTCATTATGGAAAGCAGAAGGCTTTTTAAACCACACAGACCTGGACTAATTGGAGACGTTCTGGAACAATCCATCCATGCCTGGCCCGATCTCAAGACGTAAATGAGCAGTACCAGACCACTTTTTATTCTATAAAAGGACATTTATCCACTCTGAAAGGCAGCGTAAATTATATGAAAATATATTACTGAATCCAGACAGTGATTTTACAAATTAATTCATTCTTTTTGTGCAATCAGTGCACATTTTATTGGTAAATCATCAGGCATGATGAGAAGTGAGAAGGAATCGCATAAGCTTACTACTTCTGTGGTATACAGCGCATATATATATATATATATATATATATATATATATATATATATATATCTGAATGTCTGGTGTGTTGGGTTAAGCATAAGTGTAAATGTGCCATTGTGGGAACATTTCTAAGTTATACTAAGTAAACTGATAAGTTTAAATATTTACAGTGAAAGAGCCTCTCTGTGCATTATCTGCGAGTACATTAACATCCTCCTGTTCAGCCCGCACAAAGCAATGGGCTTTCCAACCCCCCCATACACAGAAACGCATAGATCTACACAATCAGCCCCTTGTATTGCATGTCCGGTTGTATGGCTGATTCAACAGTGCTGATGATATTACACAACGTCATAATGTCATTGTCACAAGTCTGAGATGTTTTTGCCTTTTTTTCAGGTGCATTCATCCAGAACTTCACTCATGGTTCCGGTCTAGGCCACTAACAATATTTACATTAAGGCGCGACAGAAGCTCTTTTGTAAAATGACAGTAACCATTTATTCCCATGTGTTTTGCAGAGATACACATGGCAGAACAAATCCTGACATGTCGCCATCAGCCACATGTGAATGCTGCATATCAGTTCCAGGAGTTTCCTAGAAAACATCAAAGTCTGGACAGCAAACAGCCTTTTTCTGACTACGCATGACTGCTATGTTGTAAATATGAAACAGCTGCTTTCACCACTGCGCGTATTTCAATTCTTCAAAGGAGAATGTGTAATTATTTCAGCATTAATGAGAACAGACAACTATAAGTAAGACATTTGACTTATCTAAAGGAATAAACACTGTGATGCTTTTAAATATTAAAATCACAGTATCTGAAAGGTCTAACATCTGGCAAATTCTGGCTTAACCAATCCTAAGAGTTTGAAGGCGGGACTACCTGTGCATACAAACAATGCAGAACTAAATTATCTTTCTTTGCAATCGCTATACTTAACTAAATAGCTATTTTTTATGTAAACTGTTGCACTGAATGGAAAGAACTGTTCAATCTTATGTTTTATGAAGGATGTGTATGGATCTGTTTTAAAATTATATTATCACAATAAACTGATGTCTTTATAGTAAACACTAAATACAGTAATAGTTCATTATACTTTAAGCTGTGATAAAATACAAAACTGACAAATAACTTTGTAAGCAGAGATGAAGAGAAAGGGGGATAGAGATAGAGGGGGAGAGAGAATGAGAACAAATAAAAGAAAAAAAAAACCCTAAACACTTTCATTAGTGTAGTCTAATTGCTGTTTAATTGTGTGTTGAAATAAATAGCGAGTATTCTAAACAGATCTGGTTGAACAGTTACAATCATTCATTTGGACCTTTACCACACTGAGACAAAGACAGAAACACAACACTGCAAAGTCTAAATCTACACAGATCGGACAATGACAGCTCATAGGTTGTGCTTGAGGTTGTCAAGGGCAGCTGGCTTATGTTCTTCAGTAAATGACCGTTTTCTTCTGAACGCAAGTCACATGCTAGCTAGACACTTAATGCATCTGACTGACAGCTCTAGTTTTTTTAGAGTAAAACAAAGACTACTCCTCAGTCTGACAGAAGATGACATTCAGTAATGTGGTGGCAGCGAGATATGCAGACAGACAGAAGACTTTAGAACGAGTGTGAGAGGGCAATGCAACAGAGTTCACAAAGGTCACAGCCAGCGACCCTGATCGTGCAACATGTATCCCAGCGTCCAACTCAGACATCAATATGTACTCATCCACAGCCAACCACTCATCAATAAATGTCTGACTAATTTAGAAAATGACTAACTCATAAATTTACATGCAAAATGCCCTTTTCATGTTATTTGGCAAATAATACATTACTCATCATACCGACTACAAGTGGAAGCCCATTAAAAAAACAAAGTCTGAAAGGCCCTTTATTAGAATAGCGAGCAGCCACCGTGACCAACCAAAATCACAGCTCAAAGGCACACAATTATTGTCAGAGAGACAATAACACTAAATACAATTTGCCAATCTCGCAAATATTCAGTGTAATCTCTAAAAAATATTTAATGTAACCTTTCAAATATTTATTTCATGTCAAATTTAAAAGTATTCAGTTTCTTTAAAAAGGTTATACATTTCATATTTATGTTTATTTAAATATTTATATATTTTGAATGTTCATTAAAAGCTTAACATAGCTAACTAAAATAACAGAATAAGATCCACAAGTCTAAACGTGTCAGACCAACAAAGCCCGGTGTAACGCGGTCAGCATGTGGGATGAAACACACATAAGAATGCATGAAAGAAAAAAGACACATGCTGGCAAGCCCTCTCTCTCCTTCCAGAAACAAAAAAAAGGCAATTATCAGCCCTCTGTAGTCTGCTTTTGAATCCAGGCAGAGACACACCAATGAAATACATAAGAAAACAAATTCAATTTACCTCTTAGGCAAGAAGGTCTCCGTAACTGGTAAGAGTGAGCTGGCCTGTCATCTCTATTAGAGTAGATTCCTCATTTATTTGTGCTGGTTGTTTGCTTGCTTTAAAATCCTTTGACTAGAGGAGTAGGTCACTGTGGCTTACAGCCTGTGCCATCAAGAAGCAAAGCATGCGTGTAGTTCCTTAATGACGTGTCTTCTGGGGGCTGTTATGCCTCTGTGCATCCTTACCTCAAGCCCTTACTAACTGTCTCTGATGTTCCCTCTCTCTTTCTGCCTCCCTCACGCACAGCAAACACAGATTCCCCCGTCTGCCACCTCCTACTTTGACTTATCCCCGCCCACCTTATGAATAATTAATCACCATGTGGGCAGACCCCTCCCCCCTTTGAAAAAGATCTACACACGTGCTCCACAGAACAAAAAACGCATACACACATCAATGAAAAACACAAACGCATGACATATATGTAAAACCGAGGCAGTCGGGTGTGCTGTCCTCCCCCTCTCTGAGCGGGATACCGCCTGCTCTCAGCTGGGGGGGATTTAGCGTTTCTCAGGCTGGGCTGGAAGACTCTCCCCTCCTCCAGGCTTTCCCTCTGAGCTTGACCTCTCCATTTCGACCCGTGTCTCAATCTCGTGTACGTCTGGACCCCTTTTTACTCCCTGCTTGCCCTCATGTCACCTACTGACAAATCAATACAATGTCAACAACATGCAAATGCTCACTATATATGATCAGAGAAGCCTAATAGAGACCAATAGATGCCAGTGCCAGAGAGTTAGAGTAAAATGATAAAGATATTTAAACTCTTGCTTCTAGTCATCATTAAGAGCAATCTAATAATGTAAACACATTCTGAGAAGATTCTAATTAAAATGAGCTGTCGGACAGTCTGACAATATGCAGCAATAATTGCAAATATGTCATGCATGTTATTCTGATGTAGTGGCTTATCATATTCTAATCAACAATGATTGCTGTATTATTAATGCACAAAAAATATATATACTATGTATATAATACTAAATAGTACTATGGAATTATATATTTTAGTTATTTTTTTATATATCGTGGCAAACCTTTTTTTGTGGGGTGGCATACATTTTTTGTTGTCAGTAAGATTTTTTGATAAAAAAAAATACAGTAAAAGCAGTAATTTATGAAAAATGATTAATATTTGTACAGCTTTTCTATTTTAATATATTTTAAAATGCAATTTACTTATGTAATAAAGTCTTCAGTGTCACATGATCCCTCTGAAATGCTCAAGAAACATTTCTTATTATTGTCAGTGTTGAAAATAATTGTACTGCTTAATATTTTCTGAGAGAACATGTATAAATTTTTCCAGGATTCTTTAATGAATAAAAAGTTCAGAAGAGCAGCATTTAATTGAAATATTTCTGTAACATTAATATCTTTACTGTCACTTTTGATCAATTTGATGCAACCTTGCTGAAATAATTAATTCATAAACCATGGTATATGAATATGGTATTCATATGGTATGTGCAGTACCATCTTATATGTGTCAAAGTACCAGTTTGTACCATCTACAGTAGTACCCTCATACAGGACCAATGCTTAAATTGACGGTGCCCAGGACATAAATTAAGCATAAAAACCTCATTAAGCTTCACTTTTCAGTGTCTGGGGTAACATTCCCATGACATTTTTGTGATCATTTTGCACATATGTATGGAACAAATTAAAATCAGAATGTTTTCAAGAAACTCTCATCTCAATGTCTAAATTAAGTGCACAGGTCAAGCCAAATTACTATAGCTTACATCTAAAAGCCAAGGAGTGCAGGTGATTGACATCTTAACTCTAAGCAGGACCCTTAATCCTGTGTCTCCAAGGTGGATTTGCAATTTGAAGGTATTTAGTTTCCAAAGGTACACACATTAAATTATGATAAGGGGTCTCCTCTGTGACTGCATATCTATCTTCAGGAGTTTAACAGTGAGCATGAATACAAAGATAACAGCTCAAAACCTAATTTCAATGCAAAGTGAGATTAAACACTGCAGCAACTTCTCTATTCCCCAGTTTGCTTCGCAGATCAGGGAATGTGGAGATTAAACAGTGTTTGTTGCTGTAGTGTATTTGCTTGTGACCTCAAACATGTACAGTCCAAGCCCAGTGAAGGGCAGAATGGGTTTCCCTTATTATGAGAAATGTTTCACATTTTTTCCTTTCCACTGACGTCTTTTGTGGGGGTTCCTGTGTTGGTACAGTGAGCATGAATACAAAGATAACAGCTCAAAACCTAATTTCAATGCAAAGTGAGATTAAACACTGCAGCAACTTCTCTATTCCCCAGTTTGCTTCGCAGATCAAGGAATGTGGAGATTAAACAGTGTTTGTTGCTGTAGTGTATTTGCTTGTGACCTCAAACATGTACAGTCCAAGCCCAGTGAAGGGCAGAATGGGTTTCCCTTATTATGAGAAATGTTTCACATTTTTTCCTTTCCACTGACGTCTTTTGTGGGGGCTCCTGTGTTGGCAGATGCAAAACAGAGGGAGTAAGCCTAAATAAAAGGTTTGTTTCAGTTCTTCATGATTGGCATAGAAATAACAAGGAGCTGGAAGATCTAAATCACTCTGGGGAAGCAGTGAGAAACAGAAAAGACATCAGAAACAGGACTGAAACTCCCTGACACAACTCTATGCATCTGATAGGGATGGGACTAATAAAGAATTGAATGATTCTGGTTCTACTTCCAACTACTATTAATGATTTGGATGATCAGTTCTGTTAATGATTCTTTTAGTACTTTTAATGAAGAAATATGAAATAAATGCATTTTCCCTCCTAATTTCAATTTAGGTCATTAGCAATCTCTTGCCAAATGAAGAAATCATTTCAGATTTCAATAGAACAGGAAAAAAAAGCAATACAATTCTTTCATAAACTTTTCACATACTTCAGAAATTGTGGTGCCGCTAGTGATAAATGCATGTTTGAGAACCATTAACACAATGCAAATCATTTGGTTATGGTATTTAACCAGTACTGAATAAGGTTACAGTTTTTTTTATTTTCTTACATAAATGCATCATTTCACTTCAGAGGGCCTTTATTAACCCCCCAGAGCTGTGTGGGGCAATTTTTATGATGTATAGGTGCAGTTTTTTGGGCTTCAAAATCTTAAACCCCATTCACTGCCATTATAAAGTTTGGAACATTTTTTATGTACCTTCCATTGTATTCGTCTGAAAGAAGAAAGTCACATACACTCAAGATGGCTTGAGGGTTAATAAATCATGGGGTAATTTTGGGGTGAACTATCCCTTTAATTTTGGTTTCTTGTTTGGAAAAATTTTTTATTTCGGTGCATCATTAAATAATCATTGCATCATTGATCTATTCTATTCTATTATATTCTATCACAGATTAAACTGGGTGATAAAAAACATGTATACCAAATGGACATTCGCTTCATAATAGATTTTCAATAAAGTGACATTCAAAGATTTTAATTCAATAACAAGTTCTGAGGTAACGAAACCTGCATTCATGTCATGCAGACATTAAAAGGCTATGAGCAAAGGCATTCCTGCTGTGTTGCCGTGCCATAGCATACTGTCACAAAGGGCCCGTCTTTCAATTGCATCAGGTGTAACGCTAATTGCATTGTTTAAATATTTAAACCAGATTGAGGGACACAAAGGCAGAGGGATAGGGAGGGGCACGGGTTAAAAAGAGCAAGAGCGGGAGAGGGGCGGAAGAAGAGAAAGAGATGAAAGGAGAAGAAAGGATAGAGGAATATGAATGTATTAGAGAAAGATAGAATTAGAAAGGCTCTTGTTGTTTGTGGAACTCCAGGACAGGACAAGAGTAAAACAAAGAGATGCAACAGTGGAGCATCATGGCTGTTTGAGCAAAGTAAGGCCTCCTTTGTCTGTGTCAGGGCGAAATGAAAGATGGAATGAGACAAACTGGATGTTCCTGTTTTTTTTCTTTCTTCTTTTTCAGCAATCAACGGGGCGGCTCATTAGAGACTAACGAGAGGTCTGAAGAGCACACTTGGGAAGGCTGGGAGCTGCCAAGTTTATGAGAGAGGCCATGTACAAAAGCTGTCAGTAATGAGTTGAAACGGGTCTATGAGAGTCCCACTGGAGTGCATCCCACTCTGACATGTTCGGTCGTGTAACCCAGTGGCTTTTGAACACTTGTTTGTGTATAAAAGGACAAGAGATAAAACATTGTGTATAGCCAGATCAACATAATGGCAGGGTTACTGGTATTGCAGATATATACCAGTTGGTCGCCGTGATTTTGCCAAGTAAGACATGTTCCTGGATCACCCAATCCCTACCCCTAAACCTAACCTTACCCATAATTTATTACTAAAATCAGAGGGAAATGATAGCTGATTAACAAGGATGTAGAAGCACCTAATCCTGATTGTAAGCCTAAAACTGACATTTCCTGAAAAGTTATCTCTCAATTCTGATTGGTTGATTGGAATGATGTTCCAGGATCAACATGGATGTTGATCCAGGAACATGTTGTACTTGGTCAACTCACGCTCACCATTACCAGTTAAAGGAATAGTTTACGCAGACATACGCTACCCTCTGGGGTCAGTAAGAAAAAAAGCTCACCAAGGCTGCATTTATTTGCTTAAAAATACAGCAAAAAAGTTGAGATATTACAATTTGAAATAATCAATAGAAGAGTATTCATTTGAAATCGAAATATTTTATAAATGTCTTCACGTTTGATCAATTTACTATATCCTTGCTGAATAAAATCATTATTTTCTTTAAAAAAGTTATTAATTTTTCGATGAACTATTCCTTTAAAGACAGCTTTTGTCTTGTTTCAAAGACAGCACATGTAAGAAAGAAGCATGCGGCATGTTAGCTAATAGCACTTGGCAACAATCCTATTCTCAATGGTTGGTCAGGTCAACAAAGTGTTAAAGTCATCTAGATGAAGTAGTATGCACATGCTAGTTCCCAGTTGATTGGAATGATGTTCCAGGATCAACATGGATGTTGATCCAGGAACATGTTGTACTTGGTCAAATCACGCTCACCATTACCAGTTAAAGGAATAGTTTACGCAAACATACGCTACCCTTTGGGGTCAGTAAGAAAAAAAGCTCAACAAGGCTGCATTTATTTGTTTAAAAATACAGAAAAAAGGTTGAGCTATTACAATTTGAAATAATCAATAGAAGAGTATTCATTTGAAATTGAAATATTTTATAAATGTCTTCACGTTTGATCAATTTACTATATCCTTGCTGAATAAAATCATTATTTTCTTTAAAAAAGTTATTAATTTTTCGATGAACTATTCCTTTAAAGACAGCTTTTGTCTTGTTTCAAAGACAGCACATGTAAGAAAGAAGCATGCGGCATGTTAGCTAATAGCACTTGGCAACAATCCTATTCTCAATGGTTGGTCAGGTCAACAAAGTGTTAAAGTCATCTAGATGAAGTAGTATGCACAT